CCCCTCCCATCACAGACCCGAGGCCTAGGAGGAAAAAAATGGTTTCATGAGCCCAGGGCCCTACTGCTGTGTGCAGCCCAGGGACTTTGTTTTCTGTATCGCAGCTGGTCCAGTTGTGGCTAAAAGGGGCCAAGGTACAGCTCGGGTCATTGCTTCAGAGAGTGCAAGCCCATAGCTTTAACAGCTTTCACATGGTGTTGGGACTGCAGGTGCACAGAAGTCAAGAATTGAGGTTTGGGAACCTCTACCTAGATTTCAGAGGATTGTAGAAATGCCTGGACATCCAGGAAGAAGTTTGCTGCAGGGGCAGTGTCCTCATGGAGAACCTCTGCTAGGGCAGTGTGGAAGGAAAATGTGGGGTTGGAGCCCCCACACAGAGTTCCCACTGGGGCATTTCCTAGTGGAGCTGTGAGAGGATGGCCACCATCCTCTAGACCACTGTCAGCTTCCACTGTGCACCTAGAAAGGCCCAGAAACTCAATGCCAGCAAGTGAAAGCAGCTAGGTGGGGGAAATGTACCCTGCAATGCCACAGAGGCAGAGCTGCCCAAGGCCATAGGAGTCCAACTCTTGTATCGCAATGGGAGCCCACCTCTTGTATCAGCATATCCTTGATGTGAGACATGGAGCCAAAGTAGATTATTTTGGAACTTTAATTACTGCCCTGTTGGATTTTGGACTTGGATGGGGCCTGAAGCCCCTTTGTTTTGGCCAATTTCTTTCATTTGGAATGGGTGGATCTACCCAATGCCTGTACCCTCATTGTATCTGGGAAATAACTAACTTGCTTTTAATTTTACAGGCTCATTGGCAGAAGGCACTTGCCTTGCCTCAGCTAAGACTTTGGACTTGGACTTTTGAGTTAATGCTGGAATGAGTTAAGGCTTTGGGAAACTGTTGGAAGGGAAAAATTTTGTTTTAAATTGTGAGGACATGAGATTTGAGAGGAACCAGAGGTGGAATAAAATGGTTTGGCTATGTCCCCACCCAAATCTCATCTCAAACTCCAGTTACCATAATACCCACATGTGGTGGAAGGGACCCAAGTGGGAGATAATTGAATCATGGGGAAGTTATCTCCATGTTGTTCTCATGATAGTGAGTGAATTCTCCCAATATCTGATGGTTTTAGAAGGGGTTTTTTCCCTCTTCACTCTGCATTTTTCCTTGCTGCCACCATGTGTAAAAGGATGTGTTTTCTTCCCCTTCTTCCATGATTGTAAGTTCCCTGAGGCCTCCCCAGCCCTGTGGAACTGTGAGTCACTTAAACCTCTTTCCTTTATAATTTATCCACTCGCAGATATAACTTTGTAAGCAGAAAGAGAACAGATTAATACACGAGGTCCTGGCCAGTGAGGAGAAATGGAATCGGAAACCCAGACTACTTAAAAAGTAGTCTGGCCATCTTTTCATAGAGCAGCTCTGTTGTGCTTGGAGTCTACTTCAGACTCCTATTTTCTCAGACTCTCCAAAGCCCAAAGACCAGAATGGCTCCATCACCAAAATAGCTAAAAATCCAAGATGGTGGCCTGCCTCTCCCCCTGGGAGCTCTGTCCTGGGGAGGTTTGAAATCTCTGTTAGCTGGAGAACACTGTCAGGGTAGCTGGAGATTCTAGCTGGGAGGTTTCACCAAGTGAGGAGAAATGGGATTAGAGACCTGCTTCAAAAAGCAGTCTGGCCACATTTTTGAAGAGCCACTGTGCTGTGCTGAGGGTTCAATTATACATTCTTCTTCTCTGCACATGGAATATACTCTGAAATCAACTACATGCTGAACCATAGGGCAATTTTCAGAAAATTTTAAAAAACTGAAATCATACTAACCACACTCTTGGAATACAGTGAAATAAAAATTAAAATCAATACTAAGAAGATCACTCAAAACCTAATAATTACATGGAAATTAACCTGTTACATAATTACTTTTGTGTAAACAATGAATTTAAGACAAAAATCAAAAAGTTGTTTGAAACTAATGAAAGCAAAGATACAACATACCAGAATGATGGGAACACAGTGAAAGCAGTGTTAAGAGTTTATGCCACTAAATGCCCACATCAAAAAAGGCAGAAAGATCTCAAATTAACAATGTTACATTAAACATAGATGGACTAGAAATACAATAGCAAATCCAGCCTAAAGCTAGCAGTAGACAAAAAAAAAATACGCAAAATCAAAGTTGAACTAAGAAATTGAGATGTAATAAACTATGTGAAAAAGTAAAAAAATCAGGCTCCCAGGTCTAATAAACAACTCCAGCAAAGTTTCAGAATAAAAATCAATGTACAAATGTAAGTGGCATTTCTATACACCAGTAATACCAAAACTGAAACTCAAATCCAGCAATCCCTTTAACAATTGTCACACCAAAGAAATATAAAATATATATAAAAGAAATATACCTAGGAATATAGCTAACTAGGGAGGTAAATGACCTCTATAACGACAACTACAAAACACTGCGGAAAGAAATCAGAAATGAAACAAACTCTTAAATGCTCGTGAATAGGAAGAATCAATATTGTTAAAATAGCTATATTGCCCAAAACAATTTATAGATTTAATGTTATTTCAATTAAGCTACCAATTGCATTTTTTAAGGAGTTAAAGAAAACTTTTCAAATACACATGGAACCAAAAAGAGCCCAAATAGCCAAAGCAATTGTGACCCAAGTTAAAAAAAAAAAAAAAAAACACAAAACTAAGGACATCACATCATCCAACTTTAAATCATGCTATAAGAATACAGCAATCAAAAGAGCATGGAACCAGAACAAAAATAAACACACAGACCAAGGGAACAGAATTGAGACCTGAGAAATAAAGCCACACACCTACGACTATCTTATATTTGACCAAGTTGACAAATACAAGTAAGGTGGAACCTATTCAATAAGTGGTGTTGAGATAACTGGCTAGCCATATGCAGATCAAACTGGATATCTTCCTTACACCATACAGAAAAAATAACTCAGGATGGATTAAAGACTTAAATATAAAACCTAAAACTAAAAATTCCCTTGAACAAAACATAAAACAGAACATTCTGGACATATACCCTGGCAAAGGTTTCATGACAAACATGCCAGAAGCAATTGCAACAAAAGCAAAACTTGACAAATGGCACCGAAGTAAGCTAAAGATCTTCTGCACAACAAAAGGAACTATCAACGGAGTAAGCAGATAACCTACAGAATTGGAGGTTAGTCCATATTTTACAAACATTATCTGACAAAGGTCTAATATCCAGAAACTATAAGGAACTTAAACAAATTAACAAGGAAGAAACAAATTACCTTAATAAGAAAGTGGGAGTATTAGTGAGGATTCTCTAGAGGGACAGAACTACTAGAATAGATGTATATATAAAAGGGAATTTATTAAGGATTATTGACTCACACGATCACAAGGCAAAGTCCCACCACAGGCTGTCTGCAAGCTGAGGAGCAAGAAAGCCAGTCCGAGTCCTAAAACCTTAAAAGTAGGGAAGCTGACAGTGCAAACTTTAGTCTGTGGCCAAAGGCCCAAGAGCCCCTGGAAAATCACTGCTGTAAGTTCAAGAGTCCAAAATCTGAAAAACTTGGAGTCTTGATGTGTTCAAGGGCAGGAAGCATCCAGTACAGGAGAAAGATGAAGGCCTGAAGACTCAGCAAGTCTGTCCATTCCAGTTTCTTCTGCCTGCTTTATCCTGGCCACACTGGTAGCAGATTAGATGGTGCCCACCCAGATTCAGGATGGGATTGTGTTTCCAAATCCACGGACTCAAATGTTAATTTTCTTTGGCAACACCCTCGCAAACACACAGAGGAAAAATACTTTGCATCTTTCAATTCAATCAAGTTGACACTCAATATTAACCATTACAAGTCCACCCCGGTCACTTCAACCAACACTCATCTCCTGAAATCACACATAATCTTCAGATAAAGACAATAATAAAGTCATAATTATGCCTAACATAATACACTTATCCTTTTTACAACCAGAAGCGCACTTAACCTAAATGCTATTACATAAACTTAACAACACTTAAGTGCTGATACGAAGTCTTATGTCACATGATAAATCTTATGTCACATGATAAGAAAAAGAAAGGAAATAAAATGAAGATATTTTCTAAGTACAAGTGTGTACATGCACAAACATGTTCTTAACAAAATGAGGAGGAAATACTCATGAAAATTACAGTCTTCATTTCTGCCACTGGTCACTGGTCACATGGTCATAGCTGGTACTGACGACTACTTTCTACTACCCATTCTGTATTTTCTTTGCCTTCAGCAAGCATCTCAGTGAATTGTGGTTTTTCACCTGGTGGAATGACCAAAACTTTCATTCGTGAAGGATCTGAGCCATTTGTAGTCTTGCCTGCATTGGTCTGTTGTAGTTTCCCATTGACTTTAATCACTGGGCATGGTTCTACTAAGAGACACCCCAAGGGATCTTCCGTGCATATTCTTTCTTACCTCCATGGTGGAGTAGTAGATTGATTTCATCTTGATAGTCCAGGTAAATCACCCCAGCCAACACTAACTCTTTTCTTTCCCTGTTGACCTAGAGGTAGGAAGAGCCCAAAATGGCCAGGTGGTAATCCTAATCTCCAATTTAATGGAATCATTGTTGTGTCTCCTTACGGCAGCATTTCTCCTCTGGGACCAAGACCTCTAAGTCAGCAGAACATAATGTCATGCGAACAGGAAGCAAAAATTTTGCTAGTGGGTAACTAGGGGTGATGGTGAGTAGTGCCACTTCCAATTCCACCCCTTGATTCCTGGACCCATGAATCCTAGCAATGGGAGAAACAGTACCATATATTGGACACTGATTCAGGGCATGCACCACCTTGCAAAGTATTGTCATCTAATTGTGATTGTAACTGTCACTTCAAAAGGCCATTCCACCACTCTATCAATCTGGCTGTTTGAGGATGATGGGAAACATGGTAAGACTGATAAATTGCATGACAATGAGCATATTGCTACACTTCTTTTTTTTTTTTTTATCTGTGGTTTTCTTTTTAATTATCTTTAGTCTTGCGATCACACATTTTAAAATTTATGTATATCTCCGCTACTTTAATCCTTTTAAGTTGGCAAAAGCACCATTCCCAATCACAAATACACAGTTCTACAGTTTTATGTTTCTGAATGGCTGTTTAAAGACAATCCTAAATTATAACTTAGTTTGACTCAGATTGTAAAGAATTCAAGAGTGAAGTTTAACTTGCTACTATTTTAAAAGCATGTGACCTTATAGATTTGTAAGATGTGAGAAGTGTTGAATAATCTTTAATATTACACATAAACCATACTAAAATGCTTTTCAATAAGTAAGAGGAACCATTTTAAATACAGGGAATTATAATTAGATTGGCATCGTTAAGGCCAAAACTCTAGACATTGCTACCTTATTTATCTTCAACCCTTGCCTTTAAGAGGCAAATGAACACAAAACACAGGTGAATCTTGCTTAGTTCTGAGACAGTGAAGGAATTTCCCCAGTATTTAAATATATTCACATAACCAGTTATATAAATCTAAATATAAAACCAATCTCCAGTAAGTTTTAAGATGGCACTCACCATCTTTGCGAAAAGTTGAACATTACTAACAAAGTCTAATCATATCTTTAGAAGGGATAAACAGTGATAGCATTTACTGAATTGGAATTACTATTAAAATTCAAAAACTGAACATATTCATTTAACCACAAGCCAGTCTTAGTTTTAAATCAGGACTGCCCAACAAAATATTCTGTCAGTCATTCATGATATGAATTCTGGTGTATGAGATCTATTAAAGTATGGTACACATAAAAAAGTCATCAGACATTTGTTTTGTAATAAATAAGGCAGTGGCCAATTATTACTCATTAGTAGCTTTTTTGAGATAAGCTATCAAGTCTGCCCTTTCTTCCTTCTTCTTAATGCCGACAAAGATCATTTTTGTTCCAGGGATGTACTTCTTGGGATTCTCCAAATACTCCATCAGTGTATCCTCTCCCCAGGTGATGCCTTTGTTCTTATTGGCGGCTGTGTAAGAGTATCCAGGGGCCTGACCTGTCTTCCGCCCGAAGAGACCATGGAGATTTGGCCCAGTCTTGTGCTTGCCTCCCTTTTCAACGGTGTGGCACTGGGAACACTTCATAATAAAAATCTTCTTGCCTTTCTCAACATCACACATATTTAATTCTCTTTTTAGTCGCTGGCGCAACGAAGATTCCCGCTCCAAAGCAGGACGTCCCCACTCTCTAATGCTACACTTCTTTAGCTGTAAAGTGAGTGCCTCGGTCAGAGACAATGCTGTGTGGAATACCATGACAGTGGATAAGGCATTTTGTGAGTCCACGGATGGTAGTCCTGGCAGAAGCATTGAGTGCAGGATAGGCAAACCCATACCCAGAGTAATTGTCTATTCCAGTGAGGACAGACCACTGTTCTTTCCATGATGGAAGAGGTCTAATTATAATCAACTTGTCACCAAGTAGGTGGCTGATCACACCAGGGAATGGTGCCATGTTGAGTGCTCAATTTTGGTCTCTGCTCCTTGAAAATTAGGCACTTAGTGGTGGCATAACCAGGTCAGACTTGGTGAGTGGAAGTCCATGTTACTGAGCCCATGTGTAACCTCCATCCCTGCCACCATGACCATTAGGCAATGACAGGGGTGGCTAGGGAAAGAGACTGTGTGGTGTCCACAGAACAAGCCATTCTATCCACTTGATCATTGAACTCCTCCTCTGCTGAGGTAACTTTGGCAAGCACTCACAAGGGATACAAATATATTCACAGTTTTTGACCACTCAGAGAGGTCCATCTATATTTCTTCCCCAAATTTCTTTGTCACCAATTTTCCAATCATACTTCTTCCAAATCCATGACCGTTGAAATCATTGGCTACAGCCCATGAATCAATAAATAATTGCACATCTGACCACATCTCCTTCCAAGCAAAGTGCACAACTAGCTGTACTGTTTGAGGTTCTTCTCACTGGGAAGATTTCCTTTCACCTCTCTCCTTCTGGGATGTTCTAGAAAAGGGCTGTAGTGCTGCAGGTGTTCACTTTCAGGTGGTGCCTGCATATCATGCAGAACCATCTGTGAAACAGGCCCTAGCCTTCTCTTCCTCTGTCAAGTAATCATAGGGAACTCCCCATGAGGCCATTGGTGCAGGCTGGGGTAGAGAAGGCAGGATGGCAGGAGTAGAGACCATGGATATGTGAGCCACTTCCTCATGTAACTTACCTGTGCCCTCAGAGCCTGCTTAAGGACGATCACCTACATAACACTTCCATTTGATGATAGGATGCTGCTGTGCAGTTCAATGATAAGCAGTTCAGGTCACATGGAGACTTGATGACCCAAACATTCATTTATACCAAAGCCCAGTAACAGGCCAAGAACTGTCTTTTAAAAGAAGAGTAGTTTTCTGCGGAAGATAGCAGAGTCTCGCTCCAAAATCCTAGAGGCCTCCACTGTGATTCACCTACAGGGGCATACCAAAGGCTCCAAACAGCATCCCTATATGCCACCAACACCTCAAGCACCATTGGATCTGCTGGGTTAATATGGCCCAAGTGGCAGAGTGGCTTGCACAGCAGCCTGGACCTGTAGCAGAGCCCTCTCCTGTTCTGGACCTACACAAAACTGGCAGCTTTTTGGGTCACTCAATAAATGGGCCAGATTAACACATCCAAATGAGGAATGTGCTGCCTTTAAAACTTAAATAGATCAACTAGACGTTGTGCCTCTTTCTTGGTTTTAGGAGGAGCCTAATGCAGCAACAAATCTTTCACCTTAGAAGGAATATCTAGACAGGCCCCATATTACTGGACCCCTAGAAACTTTACTGAGGTAGAAGGTCCCTGGATTTCAGTCAGATTCATTTCCAGTTGCCTGGCATGCAAATGTGTCACCAATAAGTACAGTGTGTTTGCTACTTCTCACTCATTGAATCCAATCAGGATAATGTCATCCATCGGTTTTTTGTTTGTTTGTTTGTTTTATTTTTTGTTTGTTTTTTGAGAAAGAGTTTCACTCTGTTGCCCAGGCTGGAGTGCAATGGATTGATCTTGGCTCACTGCAACCTCCGTCTCCTGCGTTCAGGCGATTTTCCTCCCTCAGCCTCCCAAGTAGCTGGGATTACAGGCATATGCACCACCATGCCCAGCTAATTTTGTATTTTTAGTAGAGACGGGGTTTCTCCATGTAGATCAGACTGGTCTCGACTCCCGACCTCAGGTGATCCACCCGCCTCAGCCTCCCAAAGTGCTGGGATTACAGGCGTGAGCCACCATGCCTGGCCAGCATAATGTCATCAATGTAATGGATCAGTGTGATATCCTGTGGAAGGAAAAAACAATCAAGATCTCTGCAAACAAGATTATTACAAAAAGCTGAAAAGTTGATGTACCCCTGAGGTAGGACAGTAAATGTATATTGCTGGCCTTACCAGCTGAAGTCAAATTGTTTCCAGTGGACCTTATGGACAGGAATGAAGAAAAAGGCATTTGCCAAATCAATGGCTGCATACCAGGCATGAGGACATGTTTCAATTTGTTCAAGCAATAAATCCACATCTAGTATAGCAGCTGCAATTGGAGTCACCATTTGAGCTTATGATAATCCACTGTCATTATCCAAGATCTAGCTGTCTTCTGCACAGGCCAAACAGGAGAGCTGAATGGGAATGTGATGGAAATCACCACCCCTCCATCTTCCAAGTCCTTGATGGTGACACTAAGCCCTGCAATCCCTCCAGGAATGTAATATTATTTGTGACTTACTATTTTTCTAGGTAGAAGCAGCTCTAATATCTTTCATTTGGCCTTTTCCACCATAATAGCCCTCACCCTACCAGTCAGGGAGCCAATGTGGGGATTCTGCCACCTGCTAAATCTATGTCTATGCCAATTATCCATTCTGGCATTGGGGAAATGACCACAGGATGATTACAGAGACCAACTGGACCCACCGTAAATCAAACCTGAGCTATAATTCCATTTAATTACCTGACCTCCATAAGCCTCAACTTTAATGGGAGAACCACAATGACGTTTTGGGTCCCGCGGAATCAACATCAGTTCAGAGCCAGTGTCCAGTAGTCCCTGAGAAATCTGATTTTTCTCCTGTCCCCAGTACAGTTACTCTGGTAAAAGGCTGAAGGTCTCCTTGAGGAAAATGGAAGAAAGATTAACAGTATAAATTGTCAGTAGAGCAGTGGGACCCTACCTCAAGGGGACACTGCCTCCTCTTCATTCAAGGAGTTCTCGGTCTGTAAACTCGTTTAAGTCTGGAAATTCATTGAAGGGCCATGATTCTATATTTTTATAATTCAAATTAGTGTTTTGTTCAATCGACCTGGAAGATTTCTGCTTATACAAACTAAGTAAGAATGCAGTAGGCTTCCTATTAATTTCATTCTAGGAACACTGTGATTAACCAGTGCCAGAGCTCTACACATGTCAGACTATTCTGATTGCTGTTTTACTTCTGCTGTCCATTATGGTAACTATGCTCATGTAGCCTTTGACAGTTGAGTACTGCCACTTTGCCTCTGCCTCCCCAGGATACAATTATTCCCATTGCACTTAAATTTTGTGGTTGAGTGACTGCAGTTCCCACTGTAAGATCTGACATACAGAGAAGAGCCATCACAGAGGTTTTCAAGGATGCAGGTGCTGCCCTCACAAATCTATTTTGCAAAGTGTTGGTCAAGGCTTTGTCTTTTGGAACCACCACCCACCCCCTGCCCGGGATGAGTAGGTCTAAAGTGACTAATCCACTCCAGCATTCCAATCTCCCTAAGCCTTCGGATCCATCCCTCTACATTAAACCAAGGGAGATCAGACATTTCCAGCATGCTCACAATGGGCCATCTTTTGATCCATATTTCAATAAATTCAGCCTGATCCATCTTTATTTCCCTTCCACCATTATTCCACATCCTTAATATCCATTCCTGTGCCTGTTCTCCAGATTTCTGCTTACATAAATTAGAAAACACAGTCACTTCCAAGATGGCCAAATAGAAACAGCTCCAGTCTACAGTTCCCAGTGAGATTGATGCAGAAGATGGGTAATTTCTGAATTTCCAACATAGGTAACTGGTTCATCTCATTGGGACAGGTTGGAAAGTGGGTTCAGCCCACAGAGGACAAGCCAAAGCAGGGCGGGGCATCACCTCACCCAGGAAGTGCAAAGAATCAGGGGACTTCTCTTTCCTAGCCAAGGGAAGCCATGAGTGACTGTACCTGGAGGAGTGGTACACTCCTGCCCAAGTACCACACTTTTCCTATGGTCTTCACAACCGACAGACAAGGAGATGCCCTCCCGTAACTGATTCAGTGGGTTCCACCCCCACGGAACCTTGCTCACTGGGATGTGGGAGCTTGGCAGGGGGAGGGGCATCCACCATTGCTGAGGCTTGAGTAGGCCGGTCTATGTTCACAGTGTACACAAACTGGCAGGGAAGCTCGAACTGGGCAGAGCCCACCACAGCTGAGCAAGGCCTATTGCCTCTCTAGATTCCACCTCTGGGGGAAGGGCATATCTGATCAAAAGGCAGCAGACAGCTTCTCCAGACTTAAACGTCTCTGCCTGACAGCTCTGAAGAGAGCATAGGTTCTCCCAGCATGGCATTCGAGTTCCGATAATGGACAGACTGCCTCCTTAAGTGGGTCCCTGACCCCCGTGTAGCCTGACACCTCCCAGTAGGGGCCAACAGACACCTCATGCAGGTGAGTGCCCCTCTGGGATGAAAGCTCCCAGAGGAAGGATCAGGCAGCAATATTTGCTGTTCTGCAGCCTCTGGTGGTGATACCCAGGCAAACAGGGTCTGGAGTGGACCTCCAGCAAACTCCAACAGGCCTGCAGCTGAGGAGCCTGTCTGTTAGAAGGAAAACTAACAAACAGAAAGGAACAGCATCAACATCAACAAAAAGGACATCCACACCAAAACCCCATACATAGGTCAAAAACATCAAAGACCAAAGGTAAATAAAACCACAAAGATGGGGAGAAACCAGAGCAGAATGGCTGAAAATAACAAAAACCACAATGCCTCTTCTCCTCCAAAGCAACACAACTCTTCACCAGAAAGGGAACAAAACTGGAAGGAGAATGAGTTTGACAAGTTGACAGAAGTAGGCTTCAGAAGGTCGGTAATAACAGACTTCTATGAGCCAAAGGAGCATGTTCTAATGCATCACAAGGAAGCTAAAAACCTTGAAAAAAGGTTAGACGAACAGCTAACTAGAATAACCAGTGTAGAGAAGAGCTTAAATGACCTAGTGGAACTGAAAACCATAGTACGAGAACTTTGTGAAGCATACACAAGCTTCAATAGCTGATTCAATCAAGTGGAAGAAAGGATATCAGTGATTGAAGATCAAACTAATGAAATAAACTGAG